CAGACATCATTTTTGTTCTTTATTTCTTTGTTTAGACTTTGCATTTGGATAGGATCAGTCTGATATCTGTCTCTTTTGCCCCTTCCCCAGTTCCTCTGTGGCTCTTTGTGTCCTTCCAGCCATTCTAGGTCTCTTTCTCCCAAGCCCTTGTTTGTCTCTTTTGTCCCCCTCCCAGCCCCTATGTTTGTCGTTTTCTTTCCATAGCCCCATTTGTGGGTGTCTTCCCCCCAGCACCTTGTCTCTTTCTTCCCCAGCCCCCCTATGTCATTTTTTATGTCCCCCAGACCCTACATGCATCTCATCTCTCCCACGTGTATCATTCTCCCACCCTCCTCATGTGTTTCATTTCCCAGTGCCCCATGTGTTTCAATCCCCCAAGCCCCCCATGTCTCTCATACCTTAGCCCCCCATGTTTCTCATTTCCTGTCCTTTCTCCATCATGTATCTTACCCACCAGTGTTCATTTTGGTGGCAAATTTCAATTTAGTTTTAGTCATAGTCTTTTGAATAAAAAGACATTTTAGTTTTAGTTGTATTTAGTCTAGTTTTAGTTAACTATATCTCAAACATATTAGTCAACTAAAATCGGACTAAAATTGTTAGTCGACAAAATTAGCACTGGTTTCTAGCCTGACCCCTATCAGATACTGTTGCTTTGAATTTGTGTTTCCATGAAAGGCCCCCAATGCCACCACAGATCTATCAGGGCCCTGTTCCCACCTCCAGCAACGCCGCAGGGTCATGATAACATTGGAGTGCTTTTCCGCTGCAACTGAGTTCCTTACACTCTACTGGATCTCTCATTGGTCATCGTACATATATATTCACCAAAGTATCAAGAAATTAAAAAAAGCACCTGTGTTTCATCACTATTATTCACTATTCTCCATCTTGTACATTCAAAATGTATTAATAGTTCTGTACGCTAAGTAAAGTGGAACTGCCTTGCAAACTGATGGCAGCCATATTGTCGCTGCTGTCAATTTACACATTGCCTGGTTCACTGTTTTGTTCTTGGCAGTCCGCAGCCCAGCTCAACGTAAACAAAATTGACATAGGATGGCATATTCTTCCTTAAAGGGACACTATAGTCACCAGAACAACTACAGCTTATTGAATTTGTTCTGGTGAGTAGAATAAATACCTTCAAGCCTTTTGCTGTAAACACTGTCTTTTCAGAGAAAATGCAGTGTTTACATTACAGCCTAGTGATAACTTCACTGGCCACTCCTCCGATGGCTGTTAGAGATCCTTCCTGGGTCATGACTGCCTAAAATGCATCCAAACATTCAGTGTCTCCTCCCTCTACATGCAGACACTGAACTTTCCTCATAGAGATTCATTGATTCAATGCATCTCTATGAGGAGATGCTGATTGGCCAGGGCTGTGTTTGAATTGTGCTGGTTCTGCCCCTGATCTGCCTCCTTGTCAGTCTCAGCCAGTCCTATGGAGAAGCACTGTGATTGGATCCGGCTACCACATCTGATGATGTCAGCAGACAGCTTGTTTTTCTGAGGCAAACAGCATGCAAAGCTACAGCTTCAGGCTTGAATACAAGTAAGATGTTGCTATATTTATGGAGACATTAGGGGCCCAGAGGGGCTAGATGGTGGTTTAAACACTATAGGGTCAGGAACACAGAAAAAGTAAAATCAAGCCTTATATTTGACCCTGTAACTTTACACATGTTTGTGTTCCTGACCCTATAATGTTCCTTTTACAAAAAAGTAAAATGAAGCCTTATATTTTACCCTGTAACTTTACACATGTCTATGTTCCTGACTCTATAGTGTTCCTTTAATTGTATCTTCTGAGCTTTCCTGTACAATGCAAGCAAACCTTGTACTTTCACCACCAGGTGGTGCCAAAAGACAGATATTGGGGCACACATCTATTAAAGGCTTTATTTGAAATTCCCCCATAGACAGGTTTACAAACTAGGGCTACTGCCTAATAATATAAAGAAAGCCAACTTTCATAGGAGGATAGGGGCTACAGAGGGATGTAGCACACATTAACTTGCATATGTGCCATGCACAGCCTTTTTCTTTCTTAGGTTGAAGTCAGCAGAAAAGCTGACACTTTCAATATACTCATTTCAGTACAAAAGGTAAAGAAGTGAGCTCACGGGAGCTGATCTGCACTATAAAAGATAATAAAATATGTAGAATTAATATTAATGAGTATGCCTCTGGCTCTATAGAATTTCAGATTTATGTGTCGCTCTTTTTTGTCCTTGCTTGCAATTACATTTAAGTAAGCAGGATTACAATATAGATATATTACGAGGTATATATACGAGGTCTGTCCAGAAAGTATCCAGCCATGTAATATGACAAATAGAGACATTTATTGAAGATGATACAAGACACATTGTACATAGGACAATGATGCATCAGTTACTTTCAAAGTAGGCACCATAGGCGTGCACAGCCTATTGCATTAGGGTGTGCACCCTAAAGCACAAACACACACCGCATGTATATGTATGTATGTATGTATATACATATATGCATATATATATATACACACACACACACACATACATACACTGCTGTGTGTGTGTGTGCTGTTGGTGTGCTGTGTGAGGGTGGTGTGAGGGTGCTGTGTGTGAGGGTGCTGTTAGTGTGATGTGTGTGTGTGGGTGCTGTTAGTGTGATGTGTGTGTGAGGGTGCTGGTAGTGTGCTATGTGGGTTAAGGTGTTTGTGTGTGTGTGTGTTTGTAAAGGTGCTGTTTGTGTGCTGTGTGTGAGGGTGCTGTTTGTGTGCTGTGTGTGGTGGTGCTGGTAGTGTGCTGTGTGTTTGTGAGGGTGTTTGTGTGTGTGTGTTTTTGAGGGTGCTGTGTGTGAGGGTGCTGTTTGTGTGCTGTGTGTGGGTGTCGTGTGTTTGCTCAGTTATGTGTCCATATGGCATTTCAGAGATACAGAATTCCCAGAACAGTCAATCAACCCAAATTTGTCCGAATTGCAATTTGCCTGAATCCACATGCACAAGTCTGCTTATCTTACAATGGTAAAGCATAACTGAATCTCTGTGGGTCTCACTTAGACTGTAGAATCTATTGAATGATTTCCCAGACAATACACAAGCCACGATTAAGTACAACAGAGCACAAGCCACCATTAAGTACAACAGAGCACAACTCCAAAACAGGTAAGAATGGTGTACAGTTATCTCCGTTGACAATTAATCATCCCTCCCCTGATCTCAGTATAATGGTCATCTGCTTTCCCAGTCAATTAAACCTGCCAGGAACCTCACCATTTTGCTTGCGCCTTATGCATCGAGCTCCAGACTGAGCCATGTGCCATCCCTCGTGGTCCAGTGGAGAGTGAACTCTAGCCTGTGGTGCTAGAGTTCACTCTCGTGAGAGCTGAGCGTTGCCGCAGCAATCTCGCAAGAGGAACCCAGCCGAGCTGCTGGCTAGAGCTCCCCGGGTCCTCTCCTGCCTCCCTCCATGCTGCTGTGGGCCTGTGAAGTAGATCCTTGATCTCCCAACCGGCCCATGGAGGCTTAGAGCAGAGCCGGCACTCGGATAGCTCCGGCTCTGCATGAGCCAACAGGAGAGATCCTGAGATCTCCCCTGCCGGTCTCAATCCATAGGTATGCCGCGGGGATTAGGGTGTGCCCAGGCACACCCGGCACACCCGGCACACCCCGTGCGCACGCCTATGGTAGGCACCTTGGGACCTCAGAAAAAGAGTACTTTGAAACTAGGGAGCTCATAGCTTATACCCAGGGCCGTCTTTAACACAGGGCAAAAGGGGCAACTGCCCCGGGCCCAGTCAGTCTTAGGGGGCCCAAAGCAGCTGCCCCAGCTGCCTCCAAAGGTAGGAAACACATAATAAATGTGCATGTATGTGTCTGTCTGTCCGTATCTGTATGTATGTGTGTATCTGTATGTGTCTGTTTGTATGTAAGTGTCTGTATTTATGTGTCTGTCTGTTTGTATGTATGTATGTAAGTGTCTGTACGTGTCTGTTTGTATGTAGGTAAGTGTCTCTATGTATGTGTCTGTCTGTATGTCTGTATCTGTTTGTATGTAAGTGTCTGTATGTAAGTTTCTGTTTGTATGTATGTGTGTCTGCATGTCTTTGTACCTGCACATGTGTCAGTGTGTAGCTGCATGTGTGTCTGTGTTTGTATCTGTGTGAGTGTCATTCTGTGTAATTGAATGTGTATCATTCTGTGTGTGTGTAGCTGCATGTGTGTGTGTGTGTGGTGTGTATCTGTATATGTGTCAGTGTTGGTATCTGTGTGTATCTGCATGTTATTGTGTGTATCTGCATGTATGTCAGTGTGTTTGTTTGTGTGTTAGTGTTTTGGTTTATATGCATGTTTGCCAGTGAGTGTATCTGTGCATCAGTGTATGTAGGTGTGTCAGTGTGTATCTGTGTATCTGCATGTGTGTCTGTGTATCTCTCTGTATGTCTGTACCTGTGTACATGTGCATCTCTATATATTTCAGTGTTTGCATCTGTATGTGTGTTAGTGTGTGTATTTTGTCTCAGTAAGAAATGAGAGGGCTAAGTGTGTTGTTTTTTTTTTTTGTGGGCGTTGATGGCGTGATTGCATGCTATGAAGGGGAAGGGCTAGGTCAAGGGGCCCCAATCAAATACCTGCCCAGGGTCCAATCAGTATTAAATACGGCCCTGCTTATACCACTGTGCCATGAAGTACAAATTAATTTAAAGATCAAAGGAAAAAACTAAAAGTTTGGTAAAGAAAAAAATTCCCAATTTACCGCTCTGGGACTCAGAACCCGAGGCAAGGAACTCCAAATCCTCATGAAGGAATACAGAGAAAAAACAAAAAAAATAATGCCAGAAAAACAAGCGTTTCGAATCTAAAAGGAAAAGGTTTATTCCACAAGGTACATAGACAAACAGGGGAAAACAAAAACCAAAAAAAAATCTTCCCTACATGTTTCCGACTACCCGGTCCATAGACATGACAGTAATCACTCCTGTGAAAGGATCTCCTCTGTCGGCACCGGCCCATGGGCATTGCGGTGGGGCCCTTATGCTTGTGGGGCCCCGGGCATCTGCCCAGCATGTCCATGCAGGCGGCCCTGCTGCATAACCCCCATATGGGCAGCAAGAACTGGGGAGGCTGCAGACTGGAAAGGGGAATGACTCTGGGTGCAGTCACAGAGAATCTCCCTCCAGGGCATCCTGGAATGGGTGAGTACCATAGAATATGTTACAGACTGTAAACATTAGGAGTATATATGTGTGTAACATGGCTATTCTACCCTGACTTTGCTATTTTAGCCTGAATTTTGCCATGAGGATTTCAGTTCTCTACAATTTGGACTATGGTGAAAATCCCTGTTTGTGACTTAATACAAGTTTATTAGCAAAGTGAATTTCATATTTTAGGCCACAATAGTTGAATTGCCAACATAGCTAACTTTTTAAATTTTACATTTTTAAATTCTGCTCTTCTGGACGATAATGTTATATTAACTTTACATTTCTGGCAATTTACTTTAATTGATAACTCTTCTTTAGGATTAGAAAAAGTATGTATTGCCATGAGACTAGAGTGGTCTTGTGTTCTTCAGGGAAGCTTCAGTGTTATTACCGCAGAGTAGCTCGTGTGTACTGTAGTTGCTGTGAATTTTTTTTCAAGGGTTCTCCAGTTCCTTTCCTGTCACTTCTTAATAATAATAATTTCCAGCACTCTGCAAATAATCCTCAGCAAATAAGGAATAATCCAAAGAAATACTGAAAAAGAAGCATAGAGAATTATGAAAGTGCTTTGCTTGCTGTTGGACCTCTTGTTTTCATAACTACAGACCTACAGTGAGATTTATCCAATTAATGAATTTATAGTCATTTTACAGTTATGTGTAAACAAAAAGGGAACATGTACACAAAATGATGCTAGCTTAAGTAAAATATCCCTTTGTATCTAACTCCATCTAGAATAAAAATGTATTTACTTTTTTGCCTATTATTTTCCTTTTAATAAAACAAAAATAAAGAATAAATACATTTAAAAAAATAGAGAATTCAATGTTTTTGGGTTCTTTTTAAAATTTTATATTTTTACTTTTCAAAAATAGCAGGGATACTATATACCGTTGCATTATATCTTATTTTAAAAGATAATAACGAGAGTCCATTTGTTTAGGCAAACTTAATATATCTATTATGTTGCAAGCAGACATTGTATATATTTTCATATATAATCTCATGTAACAGTACCTGCACCATATGTCCCATCTTGGCATCATTCTGCTAAGCATATTGATGCCATGCGTCATTTCTGTATCCATTTTGACGTGTGGCATTCTTTCGTCCATACTAGCACAGTTCATCCTTTAGGAGTAAGTTTTGATGCAGATTGCTCCTCATTGATAGTATCTTATACACGCGAGGGAATCCGTCATTATTTTTTATGCCAAGGAATGCTGCGTCAACCCTGTGTTATCAGCTATGCACATTCTGAGATCTCATTTGTGAAGCTGACCCATACTCACTACTGGGTTAACATCTGGGTTCACACTGGTTCAATGCCCTGTCATCATTCTTCTTTGGCTCGACTGGTCTTGATCTCTGAAATCCTGACCTCTGCTTGTTTCTCATATATGTGTCTTTATGTATTACCTTAACCTTGGCATGCTTATGTTTACTCTCTGTCTGCTGGCAGGCATTCCCCTCCCCCCCTAGTTTTGCTCTGATCTGGCCCAGCCACCCACCATCTGCAGCCCCTGGCTCCTCACAGCTAAAATGATAGTTCGGAGCTTCCCTTAGCTCTCCTGAGCTAAACCTGGCAATGCAGGGCCTGGCTAATTGGTTGAAAGCGTGAGCTTTTCACTCTTACCCGCTAAGCATAACCCTGTAATGCCAGGCTTAAGTCAGTGGAGAGAGATTCTTGCTGTGTGGGGGCTGCAAGTGGCGACCAGTGGACCCCAGTTATAAGTCAAACCATTAGAAAGTGCTTTGATTACTTGCATGGGGTAAGGGGCAGGGGGTGTACTAGCACACTCCTGGCACTTTTACCACTGTGGTTATGGTGTTTGTAGTGTTCCTCTGAGAAAAAGGAACAGTTGCATGGAAAAAATAAATCCAGAAGACACTTTTTTTTTTTTAATTAAACCTCTTCTATAAATGAAATATCACATTATATCCAGAACAAAAATAACCAAATAAGAAATTGTCTTGATTGATAAGGCCACATCCCTCACCTTTCCAAATAATTACCCATAAGCACACCCACCGAAAAGAATCACTGAAACAGTTTAGCAGGGAAATGCCTGGCTTCTATCGCTCCCAGGCTTTGAAAACAGACACCAAAGTAGTATTGATATAGGAGAAGGTATGTGGAGAGAAATTGGGACAGGATGAGGGAGAATGGCCTAATGGGAGACATGAAAAGAGACAGCAGGAAAAGGGGAATTAAGTGGCAGTGGGAACAGAGATGAAGAAACAGCTTGGTAATTTTAAAGAAGGCAATGGAATCCCCTTTGAGAAAAGACCATGTGAAAGTATCAATTTCTGCCCACTATTTCCACAACATAATTATACACAACAACATTCAAACTCCAATGTAGAAACTGCTTTTACATCACCTCCTTTTAATTTTCCTATTCTAACTTTCCGTTTGATTTGTCTGAATTATGAACAGCATCAATACTACAGAATCATAACACATATACTTGCATAATTATTTACTTATAAAACATTATTCACTGAACAGTGACTTAAACAATGAATGAAAGTTTAGACTAGAACAATCAATCAGTGACTATTGCAGAAATGTTTTATTTTTGCCCAGGTTTTGCAATTTGGTTTTGATTCGGTACAGTTTTCTGCTTAGTAAATAAATCTCCTAAGCATGAATTGTTGGGAATTCAAAGGAAATGTCTAATTTTAAAAAATGATCCAAGTCTAGTACATTTGGCTGTTCTGGTCTAAAAAGTGAATTTAATTTTGAATTCCCTAAAATTGACAAGAGTTCGATTTCTAAATTTCAAATTATTGAGAAGTATTGAGAATATTAGTAGGAAACTCCCAATATTGAGAGTATAAAACTGGAAGGGGGGCTAGCCTCCAGGGGTTTTGCCAATTACATAGCCCCCAACATTGGCTTCCGGTGAATCAAGATGCTGGTGGGCAAAATAAAATGAGAGCGTGCTAGTGCCACAAACCATGTCACAGACTCCTCTCAAATGGGTAGGATCCACTTGGAATAGGGGCGGGGTCATCCAAATTACTGGTAGGTCTGTCTGATGTGAATGCACCCCAGGCTGCCTGACAATCACACAGGACGGCCTAATGAGGGCAGACCATGCAAGGAAAACTGTTTCAGTGCTCTATGCATGGTCCTAGTCCCCTAGGAAGAAGGTCTAATATTACGCACGCATTGTGTTTTTTTGGGGAACAGATCTCTGGTGTCTCCAAAAGCAGGATACTGGGGAACAAATCTGGGATGATTGGGAGGCCTGCAACTGCATTTTTTTTTTTTTTGCCATTGGTGATAATCACCGAGTGGGCCTGGTTAAAAAGTGGGCATGTCAGCCAGCTGTGGATGCAAGCCAGTCTGAGTCATACTACAACTGGATCCAGAAATGTTCCAACAAAGCTACAATAGTCAAGTTGTGACAATCGCATGATTATTCACTGAGAATAGTAGAGAATTCAAAACAAATGGAGCAAATTTGCTAATTTTAAAACTAAAATAGCCATACTGGAAATATAGGAGAATTTTTCAATTAAGCTATTTTGTTCTTATATTTGATAATTTACTTTGAATTCCATACCATTCTCTCTTTAGTAAATAACCTTGTCGGATTTCAATTTACTATTGAAATTGAGTTGAATAAATTATCCAAATTGTGTTATTTTGGCCTTAAATGTCCCAAATCCCTCATTATTCCCTGTGAGTGTCTTTCAGTGTTCCCCTGGGCTGCTGTCACCCTGGCTGCTGTCACCCTGGGCTGCTGTCACCCTGGCTGCATGCCTCCTGTAACCCTCACACCCTGAGCCTAGCACAGTTAGTAAATTATCCAAATTGTGTTATTTTGGCCTAAAATGTCCCAAATCCCTGATTATTCCCTGTGAGTGTCTTTCAGTGTTCCCCTGGGCTGCTGTCACCCTGGCTGCTGTCACCCTGGCTGCATGCCTCCTGTAACCCTCACACCCTGAGCCCAGCAAAGACACCGCCCTCTCTCTCGGGAACTACAACTCCCAGAATCCACCGGGAGCCGGGCTCACTCAACTTCCGTATTTACGGACCATGTAACGACATCGCGCTGGAGGGGACGCTCACCTCCCCGGAGCTCAGACTGACACAGACCCCTAGAGAGCCGTGCTGCCCGGCGCCCACCCCCCAGCCACGGAGCGCTATACCAGCGGAGCTTGGCGGCGGCCCCTACACCGCTCCCGGGGGGGCCTGGCCCCCGCCCTCCCCCCGCTCTCCCCCCGCTAGGCCGCCGCTGAGGGCGTCTGGTTGCCCGGGGCAGCAAATGGTTGGGCCGGAGGATGGCGGCGGCGGCCCGGGGAGTCCTGCCTGTCACCGGGCCGGAGTGACGGAGGACGAGGAAGGCGAGGAGGAGGCGGACATCCTGCGGCTCTATATCTCCGGCCCGGCCGCCGGCAGGATGACCAACGGGGACCTGGGGTACCCCTCCCGGGGGGGCAAGGCGGGGCCGGGCGCCGTGCACACCGAGGAGCCCAGGCTGCCCAATGGAGGACACCGGCTGGCCGGCCCGTGCTGCCCGGACACCCCCGGATACCCCTCCCCCAGTGCGGCCGGCTCGGGGGCCTCCAGCTGCAGCTCGTCCCCGGTCAGCGCGCACACCGTGGCCGGGTACTTCGTGTCCGAGGAGGCCGACCGGTTCCGGTTCCTGGATGTCACCCTGAGCTCCCGAAACACGTTCGAGGTGAGCCGCCGGCAGAGCGCCCCCGACCACCTCCATGACGGACTCAGCCTGCCCGAAGGGGAATTCGGTCCCCGGGAACAGGACGGAGACAGACCCTGGAGGATGGGGATCGCAGACTTCTTCACAAGGTGAGATCTCCATGGCAACAGAACTACCCATCGGGGATACAGGGCTTGCATGCTCTAGGTACCCATCGGGGATACTGCCATACAGGGGAGACAGGGCTGGCATGGTCTAGGTACCCATCGGGGAGACAGGGCTGGCGTGGTCTAGGTACCCATCGGGGATACTGCCATACAGGGGATACAGGGCTGGCGTGGTCTAGGTA